CTACTTCATGACAAAGGTTGTGTCACTAGAGTTATGTTGCTGCAGAAGTTGTAGAAATTGATAAATTGCATTGAGAACCATAAACTTATCTAAAGTGCTACCTGAGGCAAAACTTTATTTGAATGGATGGAGGACTTTTTCAACTTGAGGGCAAAGAAACAATTGATTTTTGAGTTTAATTTATATGTCTGTATCTTCCATCGCTAATGGTTCATATTGTGTTATGCAGTTTCTCAGAATTGGCAATTTAATCTAGATTTAAAGTGTTGAAAAATCTATAAAAAGGACATTTAACAAGATCAATACTGTTAGATTTTAATACATCACTCTCTGAAAAAAATATTTTTAGACAATAACATTTTTACTTGTAGTAAAGTAAAAAATATATTTCATGTCTTTGTTGTGAAATAAACAATACTGAAACTACTATTACCATTGGTTGGTTGATTTTGTTTTGTGGCATATCAACTTTTATGGATTTTGAACACAATTTTATTGTTTCAACTAAATATATTTTGAACCCATTTGTATGCCTTCAACTACAGATAATATGTATTGCTGGTAATTTTACTATATGTAATTTTTTTTATATAAACATGTATTACTGGTATTTTTACTACAAAAATATATTTTATACTTTTATAGTGTTTTGTTTTTGTTTGGGGATTCATTATTTACCCATAGCTAGGACCCTAACAGGTACTACCATGCTGGGTCAGGGTGTACTTGGGAACAACAGCAATTAAGAGGTGGTTCTACACTCCTCAAAAACCTCCGATTTCCCAATCAGAGGCCTTGTTGCCAAATGTAGTTTATCGTCATACCCAGGATTTACTATTATTGTCATTGATATGATTCAGTGTTAATTCAGAAAAAAAAAATTGTTAGAAAATTCACATGTTCTAACACTATATAATTTCTATTTCTAAACTGACATGATTAAGCATATTAAATTGTAATATTTGGAGATAATATTTTAGATTTATTTTGAACTCCTAAAAAAAGCATGCCCAAGGAATTAAAATTTTAAAATAAACTCAATGACAGCTAGCTACTGTATGGAAAATTATTTAGTAAAAAACAATAATGCATGTTCTGATTTAATTTTTAAATTATTAGTCAGAATTTCTATTTTTGTTTTTTTTTAGCTATAATCTACAAAATATTTAGAATCCCAGGGGAAAAAATTTGTGGAGTTATGTTCTCTTTTCTTCCCTATAATTCTCTTTTCCTGTGGTTGTTTATGGAAAAGCTGCAGTTGATGTAAACATAGTAAAGAGATAAGTCAGTTGAGTTAATGCCAGTGCTAAAGAGAAAGTAGAAGATAATCTAAATGACAAGTTCTACAGTGGCAGGCTAGCTGCTACTGTGAAATATGATAACGTTAAATAAGCTAATGCTCTCATTACAGCTGACAGAAGAGTTAGGATCACAATGGTATTGCTTGCTCAAATGTCTGTGCAAAGTGTGTTCCCAGGATGCTAGTGGACTCCATGAAGGAGAAAGGGTGTTTGCTGTCCAAGAGTTTCTGAAGGGAATTGGGACTATATATATATATACATATATGGTGGACTCTCCCATCATATTCAACGTATGAGGGTCAAGTAGCTCAGTTTCTAGGAACCAACAGCCCAGTCACCAGCACATATGATTTGATTATAGTGGTGAAGGCTTTGTGCAGAACCAACCACACTTTTTGAAGGGCTGAATACAGGGACCTGGTGTACTACGTGCCACAAGGTCATCAAACAACCCTCCGCAGGTTTTGAATTCAGAGTTGTTCTCTTAGACTAGTTGCCATCAAAGGCTATAGAACATACTGACATACTGGCTGATATAATTTTATTCTAATGATTTTGTATCATTTGTCCAAGTGGTTGATGAAATTTAGCTGTTTCCCATGCTTCAACTTGTTTTAGTTCATTTAGTAGAGAGTTCATTCTGTTCTTTTCAAATGTGATGCCATGCTACTTTCCATGTTTTCAAATGAGACAAGAGACCTGCCTTAATCATATGCCATCCCACATAACCATTTGGGTATGGCATAAAAAATTTTTGATAACCGAGAATCACCTTGAAATTCACAGACAGAACCTACTTTGTTATGATTATTTTACTTTTAAATTCTCTGCTTTCTCCTCATACCTTCATGAACTGAGGTTCTGTGCAAAAATCACCAAAGTTTTTTTTTTTTATTTTCTTGTTCAGTAGTACTTTAGTTGGTGACATTTCTAAAAAAAAAAAATTGTGGAGTTAAATTGTAGGCCAACAAGAATTGACTCACCTTTAACTTGAGTCAACTTTTCTCATGTCTCATCTTATGCCTTCCCTCCTTGGATATGTGCACATATCTTTCAATCCATTACAAGAAAGACGCTTATTTCATGTCTCATTATAAAAACATGACAAAAGCAACAACATTGAAACAATTTTCTGGGATTCCATGTGTCATAAAACATCTTTATAAACATTCTATAAGTCACAGTGGCTGAATTAGTTATATATACCTTCATCAATTTATGCGTGTCAACAATGACAAGCAGCATGTCTTTTTGAATGGATCACCACATCTGAGATGCAATTTGAACCACTCCTCTTGAATCTCCTAAGGATTTAAAGAAGGTGCTGTAGGCATCAAACTATTGACTATTTGACTTTAACAACAGTTCCTCATGTTCAACTTAATGTCCTTGTTAAGATTAGGCCATCAAAATAGTTTCTACTTAAGCACTTCATTGTAACTATTCCTGGGTGTCCATCATGGAGTGCTTCCAGTATTTGCTTCCATCCTAGCAGTGATACAATAATCCTCTGTTTTGTGATGTCAATGAATACTCATTGTCACTTTCATAATGCTCATTGTAGTAGAGACTTTGTAATTTCAGGTTATAGCTATAGTATGCCTTGAACAATACTGGTATCAGAAATCTTTGAATAACACTCGCACTAATAGTACTTGCTTGATAATACTCGCTTGAACAGTAATCCATATAGTATAGAGAAATAGTATAGTGAAGAAAATAGAGAATAGTAGTCTGTATAGTAATAGAAGAGTGATCATTTAGACATCAGCTACTTCCTATATATATGTGTTTCCTCTATGGTCACGTGATCCACTTAATTCAGTAATGGGATCACCTGTATTTGCTCACTGGCAATCGATGTTTGAACTCAAGTGTCGGCAGTGAGACTTTATTCCTATATAACATTCTTAATCCACAATACAATTCCCAGTTCATTCCTCCTTGTAAAGTAGGGACACCATTCTTCTGAATTAGAACATTTGTGAGGCCATCCATGTTGGATGTACAACAGCACTTGTTTGAAAATGGCATCCTTCCCTGTCCATCTCACGATTTCTTGGTAAATGACTGGAGTTTGTTTGAGGTACTCCAGCAGCATAACTATTTCTTCTGGCATCAGAACTTCCTTGATTTTGGAAGGCAGGGACAAGAGGCTCAAGTAGTCAGCATTCTCATTTTGTTTACCTTCCCAATATACAAGTTAGTTGATGTAAGGTGATAAGATTACAGTCTACCTCTGAATCCTAGCTGAGCTGATTTCAGAGATTCTTTTATTTTCATTTAGATAACTCAAAAGGGGATAATGGTTGGTATACAATTTGAAAGGCTGACCTTATAAATACTCGTAAAATCTTTTAACCCCCTAAACTAAAGTCAGTTTGGCTATAGTTTTCTTTTTTTTTCAGAAGGTGCAAGAGTATTTGATATGAAAACAATGGATTACCACATTTGAAATGCAATATCCTCCATGATATGGGACAACATTGCCCCCTGTCCAGAAGTATCCCAAGCAATGGTAACTTCCTTGTTTGACTCAAAATGAACTAATAATTTGTTAGAAATTAAAAAATCCTCTGCCTTTTTCAGGCTCATTCCTGTTGTGAGGTTCACTTCCATTTCACTTTCCTTCCTTGTCACTAATTTAAAGGTCCCAAAATATTGGAGATGTTACAAATATAGTATGCATAATAATTTCATATCACTAAAAAGGTTTGCAATTCTCTGATGATAATAGAGCTTTTTTGATAGCCTGTACATTACATTCTACTGGTTGAATTTCCTCTGTTAACCAAATGACTGAAGAGACCAAAAACTTATATTTGAGATCAATGCCAAATTTGTCTAACCTACTCAATACTTACTCTAAAGTCGATAAGTGAGTTTTTCTATTTTCTATTGTCCTTTGAAAAATCCCTGACACATGTTTTAAACCATAACATAAAACAATGGTACACAAAAGCCCTTTATATTTGTTGATAGAGATAAATTTCTGAGATTTCTTATCTAGCAGTAATTGTTGATAGGCTTCATTGAGATATAACTTGAGATAAGATTCACACCTTCTGAAAGTTGTATAGAGGTATTGGGTAATTATCCAATTTAATTGGAGGATTGATAGTTATCTTTTAATCTCCACAAATATATGGTTTAAGAATGGGTGTGGCTCATTCTGAAAATTCCACTGCATACAGACCCAGAAGCTAAACCCAAATTTTTATAATATAGGGGTAGATAGGGTCACCTATCACCTGGTTCACAGTCCTTCCCCATCTTTTGAACAGGATTAGAGGTTTATCTCTTCTTTCTTGTTTAGGATTGGGTTTCCAGTTACTTCTAAAATCATCTCCCTGTAACCACTTACATCTTAGTGAGATTATCACCTTGCTTGTAGTGAAATGATTAAAAAATATATATATAGTAGGTGATTTATTTATTTGTTTTTTTTTTTTTCTATTACTTATCAACTCATTGCAGGTTATTTAAGGCAGAGAAAATATTTTTAGATTGTAAGAATCTTTTGGAGATAATGATTTACTGACACAGGTCTTACTAATTAACCCACAGCTAGAAGGAGGAGAAGGTGGATTCATAACTTTACCAAGGGTAACAGTACATTAGTGAATATAATGAACCCAACTCGGCTCTCTGATTCCCAATTTATGAGCCGTTATCCATTACACCACCCACACATCTAAGATTACAGCACTTGCTATTCACAAGTGATCACCCATCTACGTACTGACCAGGCTCTATGTTGCTTAACTTTGGTGATCGTGCAAAAACTGGTGTTTCAATATGATATGACTGTATGCCTATATAGTAGGTGATGAGGAATGCAAGTAAGTATATCTTATAGCAGTGTTGGCTTTGCTGTGAAAAAATCATTGAAGATGGCAGAACTCAGCAAGGATGGCTCAGAACAAATCCACTAACTTAAACTGCATGCCTCTGATAAAACTGTCAACCTTGTCAGTGCTTATTCTACAACCCCATACTCCTCACAATATATCAAAGATGAGTTTTATGCTCAGCTATCAAATAAGATACAGACCATTCCAAAAGAGGAACAGTTGCTAATATTTGATGACATCAACATACTGATCATGACTCATGGCCTAGCTGCCTTGGACAGCATGAAGTTGGGAAATTGAATGACACTGGCCAACAACTGCTCAGGCTCTGTGGGCTTCAGGAGTTATGCATCCCAAACACATTCTTTCAGGCCAAAGTCTAGCACAAAATCTCCTAGCAATATCACCACTCTAAACACTGGCATCAGTTAGATTTGATCCTTACCAGGTGCATGTAGCTGAGAAATGTGCACATGACATCGGACTTTCAGAGCGCCAACTGTGACACGGACCACTCCCTGGTTTGCTGAAAATTCCAACCAAAGAGTATGCATTATGCCAAGCCTATAGGCAAACATCATATCAATGTCACCATGATCCAGAACTCAACTAAATAGGTGATATTCATCAAGTCTCTGAAGGATGCCCTCCTTGCAAACCCACCTAGAGGAATTGTACAACAGAGATGGTATACTTCTCAGGGATGCCATACACAGACTTTTGGGAGGAATAGGAGCAAGACACTGGACTGATTTGTAGCAAGTTCAAATGAGCTCAACATGATTATTGAGTAGAAATGTGTTGTACTATTAGAGCACAAACACCAACCTACTCAGACAATGTTGCAAGCTTTGAGGACAGCCAGCTGGAGAGGAGAAATGAAGGCTTGTCGCTAGGGAGAAGTGTGCTTGACAGAAAGAAAACAAGGTGACATCGGGGGAGAGCATCTTTACATGAATCCATTACAACTGAGATTGTCACTCCCATGTAGGCATGTACAGCCATAATAGATGCTGCATCGCCATCAGCAGCTGAGGCATAATTCTTTGGGCTCATTACTTGAGACCAACATGCCTCATACACTCAGAGTGTACCAGCAACTCTGAACTGGTTAATCACTTCACATCACAGAGTTTTCATTCAGATAAGAAATATGGCTTTTGCTTCTCTAAGTCAACTGCTGATGTATTAATGATTATTGCTAAAAGAGTCTATCAAGCTTTAGATAAGAATGATGAAGCTCAGGCTGCTGGATTTGGACATTTCAAAGACATTTGTCAAGGTTTAGCATACCACTCTTCTTGAATGGTTATGGTATTTCTGGACAAATTTTTGAAATGATTCAGTCTTTTTTATGAAATGAAAGTTTACCTGAATGGCCAATCATCTATATCTTTTTATATTAATGCAGGTGTCCCCCAAGGTATCCTTGAACCTATGTTTTCATCAATGATCTTCATGATGGCTTCAGCCTTCAACTTGGTATCTATGATGATGACGCAATTATTTACTCCTAATACTTCAATAGTAAGTCTGATCAGTTTGATAAGGTCAAATTGGCAGCTGATCTCAAAAGTGATCTAAAATCTGCTGTTAACTGGGGTAATTGCTTGTTAATTTTAGCCCCTCCAAAAAAACTGCTTTCTATTAATCATCTGAAAAACCCATTTCTGCCTTCCATCAACATGGCTGATGCTAAGCTCCAGGAGTGATTCACTGTGCCTTTTTAGGCTAACATTCTCTGCTGGCATGAAGTGGAAATATTATTATTAAATCAATTGTCTGCTGGGAAAAAAGTCAGTTCACTGTATCATGCTAGACAAGAAACTTTCCAGAAACTATTTATAAGTCTACCATTCAACCAGGTTTTGAAAATTGCTGTCACATATGGTCTGGTGCTCCTGCTATATATTTAGGGATTCTTGATAAAATCCAAAGAAGAATTTGAATTGTTATTGGTCCTGACCTGACATCTCAGCTTCAGTCCCTTTCTCACCACTGTAATGTAGCTTCCCTGTTTCTTTTATATCAATAGTCTCATGGTAATTGTTGGGATGAACATTACTCTATGGTACATAGAATTTAAGTACAGTATTTTGTTTTCTCTGCACTCTCATTCCTAGAGTTTACATTATTACAGTGATTGTTATCATTTAGCCATCTTATTTAATTTTCACTTGTTACAGTTGGAAATAAGATGAACTTTAATTTCAGAGTAATCCAAAAAATATTTGTTCACAGCTCATAGCATTATGGCCACATTTTTACTGGCTACATTCTTGATAGACAAATTAGTCTTCTGTGTACCTACCATGAAATAAGTGACAAGAATAAATCAACTTCCTGCATGATTTGCTTTAGTCGGTGGAAGACGTCAGAATTTATACTAAATTTAAACTTAATGATTTATCTTTTCATAGCACATATATATATATTTTTTTAAAAATATATATTATTTCTTTATTTTCCATATTTTGCAACACGTTTCAGGTCTTGCGATCTTCTTCAGGCAAAGAGTGGATATTGCCACATATTATTAAAATTAATTAATTTTCCTTATGTTTTTCAATGGTAAACATTCTCTTTTTTTGTGTGGTAGTGACACAAATGTCTTTCTTAGACTTGGTGTCCAAGAAAGATATTTGTGTCACTACCACACAAAAAAGAGAATTTTTAGCATTGAGAATGTTTAACGTCGAAAAACGTAAGGAAAATTAATTAATTTTAATAATATGTGGAAATATCCACTCTTTGCCTGAAAAAGGTCACAAGACCTGAAACGCGTGTTGCAAAATTATGGATAATAAAGCATAATATATATTTAAAAAAAAAAACACATTACAACCAAAAATGTTTACGGTTTCTTTCTTTGTAATATATATGCTTTTCTTATAACCTCTTCTCTCTTTCTCTCTACATACATATATATATATATATATATATATATATATATATATATAAAACAATAATAAATCAGTTATAATGATGGAATATTCCTCTATTTCTTTTTCTATAACACAAACACTTTACTGTTTATATATAATATTTCTATCCTGTTCAATACTTTCATTTAATCCACTCACAACATAAATTATCCTGTTAAAATTTTGGTGACTGCAGGAAAGTGAAAGAAAAAAGTGTTCAATCTTGGCATGCTGTTCGTCAGACATTTCAAAAAAAGTTATTTTGGACAATAGTCCAAGACGATGCTTTACTCAAAATGCAGAAGCAGGAATTGTTCAAAAGTCTATCAGAGGTAGCTGAAACTTTTTTGAATTTCTCTGCCAGTTTTGCTGTACTTCTTTCTCTGAATCTACTATGAATTACAATATAAAGCTTACAAGGGTCACAAAAAACAGCTGAGACAAATTTAAATTTATTTTCTGTGCAATTTCTTTTAAGCCAAGTACTGTGAATTCTTAATAAGTTAAATCTTAATAATAAGCATAAACAGGTGACACAATCTAAATGCATGATGCCTATCCCTTGTTACCCCCACCGAGAGATCCAATGTGCTAGAGTCGGGGAGGTGGGGGTTAACATTCCTTCTGGATTCATCTTCTAACAATGTTTATCAAAGACATAACTTTGCAATCCATTTACGCACTTGCTGGTCATTTATGACTCCTTGACCATAAACACTACATATTTTTCTACATGTCTCTATAGCTTTATTCTCTTTCTTGAACTCCTATAACATTGTGATATAAATGCACTTACAATTCCTTCATTAGTGGGATTAAGAAATTTATTCTTTAATCTTTTGTGTATGCTGCAATTGTCATGCAAGAATTAAGGTATGTTTGTCTAATCCAAATTTATTCTTAACTGCCATATCTAATTTGTAGTTAGAATGATACATTCATCATTACAATTGGTTCCCAAAAATGGAAATTAATTTGACTCAACCTAATAGAAGAAAAATTTAGAAAATTATCGACAAAGAAGAAAACAGTATCAGAAAATAATAAGAATATCATTCAACACATTAAACCTATTTTAGTACTTCACCGTTTCAAGAGAGCAGAAAATGAAATTCTTTATGAATCTACTCATTTCACCCTAAGCAAGGCAGGAATGCCACTGGTACACAGGGGGTTACAGAGAGTGTAGTTGGGAGAAAAGACTGGATCTACAATGCACAAATATTATTACCTATTTTGATAATTTAGTAAGAATATATTTTAATGTTTATCTAGTATGATAATCAAAATACATTAAAAAAAATTCATTACTTTTCACTACAAAAATTTCTATTAAATCTAACAGGTTTTATAGAAAAACAAATTTTATAATGCAAAAAAGAAACATAAATGTTTTCATAATTGGAGGAAGTTGTTACCAACAAAAAGTGAGTACAGTAACCCAAAAGAATGATGCAAATTATATTGTTTTATTTTATACTAATAGATTATTCAAGTTTTATCCAATCTAGCATTATATATTTATATTAAAAACATGATTTCTCTAATAACTGTAGTTACAATGTAAATGTACATTGCAAAGAGAAGAAAATAGTGAAGTACTCAAGATATAAAAATATTATCTAATTTACTTATTTCACAAAAAAGAGTAATGTGTCTATGAATCAGTATTCATTATTTGCTAGCTTCCTTTCTTCCAGGTACATCCTAAACCCTCGTAGAAACACAGCTGAATTGATAGCTATAAATAGTAGACCTTTACACTTAAGCCAATCTTGGCTCAATATTGTTAGTCTGAATGTTATAGAAATTTCCAAAGCAGTTCTGATCTCTTCACTGTTTCTCTAACCTCTAAGATTATATGCCCCACCCACTAAAAAAAACATGATAAGTGTACAATCCTGTGTTAGAAAGAACAGCTTATTGTGGTCATAAAATAAAGACAGCACTCCTCGAGCTTGTCAAACTATTCATATATAGATTACAAAAAATTCACATGGACATCCAGTTTCCTTTCTGGCTGGAAAATCATT